TCTCATCGCGCCTTCTCCTCCCTCGTATCTCATTCCTCTCCCTCATGCCGCCTTCCCCTCTCTCATTCCTCATTCCACTCTCTCATCCCGCCTTTCTCTCCCTCATTCCTCATTCCTCTCCCTCTTCCCGCCTTCCGCTCCCTCATACCTCATTCCTCTCCCTCACCCCGCATTCCCGACTCTCAATCCTCATTCCTCTCCCTCACCCCTCCTTCCCTCTCTCAATCCTCACTCCTCTCCCTCATCCCGCCTTCCCCTCCCTCATTCCTTATTCCTCTCCCTCACCCCGCCTTCCCTTCTCTCAATCCTCACTCCTCTCCCTCATCCCGCCTTCCCCTCCCTCACTCCTCATTCCTCTTCCTCACCCCGCCTTCCCGTCTCTCAATCCCCATTCCTCTCCCTCATCCCGCCTTCCCCTCCCCCATTCCTCATTCCTCGCTTTCCTCTCCGTCATCCCGCCATCCCTCCTCTCATTCCTCATTCCTCTCCTTCATCCCCCCTTCCCCTCTCTCATTCCTCATTCCTCTCCCTCACCCTGCCTTCCCCTCTCTCAATCCTCATTCCTCACCCTCATCCCGCCTTCCCCTCCCTCATTCCTCATTCCTCTCCCTCATCCCGCATTCTCCTCCCTCATTCCTTATTCCTCTCCCTCACCCCGCGTTCCCCTCTCTTAATCCTTATTCCACTCCCTCATGCCGCCTTCTCCTCCCTCGTTTCTCATTCCTCTCCCTCATCCCCCCTTCCCCTCTCTTATTCCTCATTCCACTCCCTCATCCCGCCTTCCCCTCCCTCATTCCTCTTTCCTCTCCCTCTTCCCACCTTCAGCTCCCTCATTCCTCATTCCTCTCCCTCACCCCGCGTTCCCCTCTCTTAATCCTAATTCCACTCCCTCATCCCGCCTTCTCCTCCCTCGTTTCTCATTCCTCACCCTCATCCCCCCTTCCCCTCTCTTATTCCTCATTCCACTCCCTCATCCCGCCTTCTCCTCCCTCATTCCTCATTCCTCTCCCTCACCCGCGTTCCCTCTCTTAATCCTTATTCCACTCCCTCATCCCGCCTTCTCCTCCCTCGTTTCTCATTCCTCTCCCTCATCCCCCTTCCCCTCTCTTATTCCTCATTCCACTCCCTCATCCCGCCTTCCCCTCCCTCATTCCTCATTCCTCTCCCTTTCCCGCCTTCCGCTCCCTCATTTCTCATTCCTCTCCCTCACCCCGCCTTCCCCTCTCTTAATCCTGATTCCACTCCCTCATCCCGCCTTCTCCTCCCTCGTTTCTCATTCCTCTCCCTCATCCCCCTTCCCCTCTCTTATTCCTCATTCCACTCCCTCATCCCGCCTTCCCCTCCCTCATTCCTCATTCCTCTCCCTCTTCCTGCCTTCCGCTCCCTCATTCCTCATTCCTCTCCCTCACCCCGCGTTCCCTCTCTTAATCCTTATTCCACTCCCTCATCCCGCCTTCTCCTCCCTCGTTTCTCATTCCTCTTCCTCCATCCCCTCTCTTATTCCTCATTCCACTCCCTCATCCCGCCTTCCCCTCCCTCATTCCTCATTCCTCTCCCTCTTCCGCCTTCCGCTCCCTCATTCCTCATTCCTCTCCCTCACCCGGCGTTCCCCTCTCTTAATCCTCATTCCACTCCCTCATCCCGCCTTCTCCTCCCTCGTTTCTCATTCCTCTCCCTCATCCCCCTTCCCCTCTCTTATTCCTCATTCCACTCCCTCATCCCGCCTTCCCCTCTCATTCCTCATTCCTCTCCCTCTTCCCGCCTTCCGCTCCCGCATTCCTCATTCCTCTCCCTCACCCCGCATTCCCGTCTCTCAATCCTCATTCCTCTCCCTCACCCCGCCTTCCCCTCTCTCAATCCCCACTCCTCCCCTCATCCCGCCTTCCCCTCCCTCATTCCTCATTCCTCTCCCTCACCCCGCCTTCCCCTCTCTCAATCCTCACTCCTCTCCCTCATCCCGCCTTCCCCTCCCTCATTCCTCATTCCTCTCCCTCATCCCGTCGTCCCCTCTCTCAATCCTCACTCTACCCCTCATCCCGCCTTCCCCTCCCTCATTCCTCATTCCTCTGGCTCATCCCGCCTTCCCCTCCGCCAATCCTCACTCCTCTCCCTCATCCCGCCTTCCCTCCCTCATTCCTCATTCCTCTCCCTCATCCCGCCTTCCCCTCCCTCATTCCTTATTCCTCTCCCTCACCCTGCCCTTCCCTCTCTCAATCCTCACTCCTCTCCCACATCCCGCCTTCCCCTCCCTCATTCCTTATTCCTCTCCCTCATCACGCCTTCCCCTCACTCGTTCCTCTTTCCTCTCCCTCATCCTGCCTTCCCCTCCCTCATTCCTTATTCCTCTCCCACACCCCGCCTTCCCCTCTCTCAATCCTCACTCTTCTCCCTCATCCTGCCTTCCCCTCCCTCATTCCTCATTCCTCTCCCTCATTCCGCCTTCCCCTCCCTCATTCCTTATTCCTCTCCCTCACCCAGCCTTCCCCTCTCTCAATCCTCACTCCTCTCCCTCATCCCGCCTTCCCTTCCGTCATTCCTCATTCCTCTCCCTCATCCCGTCTTCCCCTCTCTCAATCCTCACTCCTCTCCCTCATCCCGCCTTCACCTCCCTCATTCCTCATTCCTCTCTCTCATCCCGCCTGCCCCTCCGCCAATCCTCACTCCTCTCCCTCATCCCGCCTTCCCCTCCCTCATTCCTTATTCCTCTCCCTCATCCCACCTTCCCTCACTCGTTCTACTTTCCTCTCCCTCTTCCTGCCTTCCCCTACCTTATTCCTTATTCCTCTCCCACACCCCGCCTTCCCCTCTCTCAATCCTCACTCCTCTCCCTCATCCTGCCTTCCCCTCCCTCATTCCTTATTCCTCTCCCTCATTCCGCCTTCCCCTCCCTCATTCCTCATTCCTCTCCTTCATCCCACCTTGCCCTCACTCGTTTTACTTTCCTCTCCCTCATCCTGCCTTCCCCTCCCTCATTCCTTATTCCTCTCCCACACCCCGCCTTCCCCTCTCTCTATCCTTACTCCTCTCCCTCATCCTGCCTTCCCCTCCCTCATTCCTTATTCCTCTCCCTCATTCCGCCTTCCCCTCCCTCATTCCTCATTCCTCTCCCTCATCCCGCCTTCCCCTCTCTCAATCCTCACTCCTCTCCCTGATCCCGCCTTCCCCTCCCTCATTCCTCATTCCTGATTCCTCTCCCTCGTCCCGCCTTCCCCTCTCTGGACCGGGTCTCCTGGTAACGCGTCTGCGTTCCACATGTGGGGATGCCTTGCTCACGTTCGTGCCTCTAGCACGAACAAGCTCACTGCCCGCACTGTCCCCTGTGTCTTCCTTGGTTTCCCCTTTGACTCCTCTGACTTGCACTTTTACCACCCGCCGTCTCACCGCTTCCTTCACCCGCGTAACGTCACTTTCGACGAGTTTGTCTCCTTTTACCGTCGCTTTCCCCACCGAGGTCTCCCGGTTTCCCCACCCCTGTTTCTGGTTCCCACTCCCCCGGTAGCACCTGCTCCTCTCCCTCCCCCTCCTGCTCCGTCTGGTGTGTCTCACGTCACTCCCCTCCCGTCGGTTGTCCCGATCGAGGAGTTGGCTGACTCTGGTGGCCCCGCGGCGCAGTTCTCGCTGCCTACATCTTCCCCGTGTTGGAAATAGATTGCAAATCCCACTTTTGTATTTGTACTTTTATATCCTAGTTTAGGTTAAATGTTCTAGTGGGTTGGGTGTACTCACAAATCCCAACCTCACCCAATTGTGATCCCCCCAACTCCAATTACCCAATTGGAGATTCCGGAAATCCCAATGGGATTCCCTCCAATTCCCCCTTCATCCATTCTCCTTTACCTTGCCATGTACTTATAGAGCCTAGGGCTCCTTACCTAATCAATCATTTCAACTCTATTTCTTATATGGTATCAAAGCGACCTATCCGCACACGCGGATCAAGGTCCTAATCTTAACGTGCCCGCGTTACACGCACTTCATCGTCGCGATATTCGTTTCGAGTCGTCGGAATTTCGACGTGCTCCACTCTGCAGTCGCGCCTCTCATCGTCGACCGCCTTCGCGCTCGACCTCGTTGAATTTCTCATCTCTGAAGCTTTCACGCTTCTCATCGTCGATTTCCTCCTCGGTTCTCCTTGGTCGAATCTCAATTTCGACCATCTCTTAAATCTCGTTCTCGAGTTTCCCCTCAGACCCCGCCAGAATAGGCGAACTCCCCTCGCAAAATCGCCTCCACGAACATCTCGCGTCAAGCAAGAGCAGGTACACAGGTTGAAGCGGAGCGGAGCTGGTTGCGGAGCTGGTTGCGGAGCTGGTTGCGGAGCTGGTTGCGGAGCTGTGTAGCTGCGGGACAGGGCCTGGGGGTGTGTGGGGGGTGGTGGGTCCGGGGTTAGACATAGGCTCAGATTCAGTTTCAAGTCGGCGTTTTAACGAATTTTCGCCGACGCGATTTCCTACTTAGCGGCATTTTGATAAAGCCGTCAGAGTGATTTTCAGCAATTCTCGTCGACCAATTTCCAGAAGTGCCGCGCTGCACACCGACAATGGCTTACTCAACCACTTCACTCGCCAACCCGATCCCGCTCCTTCGTCTCGAGCCGGACGGTACATGCTCCAAGTACAAGGCTTGGCGCTATGGTGTCGACAAGCACCTCCTCAGTCGCGAGGTGAAGGGGCTCGAGCTCACCGACATCCTTCTCAACAACAGTGACGACAAAGAGCCTCCTAAACCCGAGAGGTCCGCCGATCCAGCTAATGCCGCCGCCGAAGCAGTTTATGCTGCTGCACTGCTCAAGTACAAGAATTGGGAGAAGGCCGATGGTGCGGTCATTAGTGTCTTCATGGGCACCACTCCTCCCGAACTCGTCGAAACCTACCACAACTACCCGTCTGCCAACGCCATTTGGCTCTACCTCGAAGATCGCTTCCTGAACAGGACTGCAGTGGGAGTTGCTATACTCATCCCCAGCATGTTCCAAGTGCGGCTCGAGGACTCGCCAGGCATAGCGGACTATGTCACCAAGGTGCAGTCCATTCATGGTGAACTCAAACAGTTGGGGATAGTCTTCCCCGAGCAAGCCCCTGCAGCCGCTCTCCTAGTCGGCCTCACTCCGGCATACGAAGTCACACGCAAGATGCTCTTGGGCCTTGCTCCTGCAGACCTCACATTTGCCAAGGTCTCATCCGCGCTCCTTTCTGCCGAAAAGGACAACAGCGCTCAAGCCAAGGCCAATGCAATCCGCGCTCCCGTGCCTCAAGCCTTACCGCTTCGGTGCCATTCCAGCGCAACCGCTTCCCCCCGTGTCCCTACGTCATCAAGCGCGGCCCTCGTGCTGGCCAGGTGTGTGGCGGCACCAACCACGCCCTTGCCTCCTGCTTCAAGAAGAAGGATGACACCACACCTACCGCTCTCTAGCTTGGGGTCACGCCTTCCGCCCGCTCTCTACGCATCTGGGGTGTACCGCGTATGTGTTGCTCAGCCCCCACACGTGCAGGAAGCAAGGTGGCAAGCTTGGTCCCCAAACACAGACCTGCATGTACCTGGGGCACAACTCCGACTCCCCAGACTACTTATTCCTCAACCCAATCACCAGACAGCTGATTCGCAACCGTGATGTCGTCTTCGATAAGACACGCCCATTCCACTCTGCGACCACGGGCGAGCCTCCTCCACCTCCCCCGACGCTTGTTTGGGCAGACTTCGATGCCCCACCTCCGGCCGCTGCCCCTTCTCCGGGGCCTTCTCCGTCCGGCGTGTCTCACCCGGCCTCCCCAGTATCCTCCGCAGCGGCACCTCCTCCTGCTCCGCCTTCCCCGAGCGTCGAGCCCGGCTCACCAGTCTCCTATCGGAGGCGCCTCGAAGCCGCCAAGCTGGATGGTCAATCGTGCTCCTCGCCAATTCAATCAAGTCGAAGCGCAGGAATCCGTCCAGGCTGCTGTGGCTGCACCTGCTGATGTGCGCCTCAACATGTTGTTCCCTGGCAATGCCATGATTAATGAGATGATTTCGTAGTATCCTGGCTCACAAAGCACCTCAGCCACAATAGAGTTCACCCTCGACAGTGGGGCATCTCACACGGTTCTCAAGGAAGAACACTCCTTCAAGCCATACGAGACACCAATCCGTCTACTTGGAGCAGACTCCAGTTTCACAACACACGCCAAGGGCTCCTCCACAGTTCCGTGCCCAGCTTTTCCTTCGGGCAGTGTGACTAGCATGTGTGTTCCCACTCTAGGCCACAATCTCGTGGCCCAACACAAGCTCCAACGGGCAGGCGTCACCACGATCTTCCCAGCACACTCGGATCACTGTGACCTCTTCGACCCTAAGTCCAACAAGCTCCTAGCACGCTTCACACTCAACAGCAGCAAGCTCTACACGCTGCGTTCACCTGCACCTCTCGCCGCCCTCTCCCAAGCGCAAGCTGCCAGCACCACTCCGTGTTCGTGTCGCAGCTTTGCCAACCCAACCATCCTCTACCACCATCGCTTGGGTCACCCCAACTTCCGTACACTTGCCGACATCGCTTCCAAGAAACTTCTTCTTGTTAGAATATACCATGCTATGCTAGTTGTGTATATTGTGTTTACATCCCTAGTTGGGTGTACACCTGTGTTGGGGTGTCAATCCAACCCAATTGTGGTTGGAGCCCCAAACACAAGGACCACAATTGTGGGGGCACCACAAGTGGGTTGGCTAAACCACTTGTGGTACACCACATTTGGACCACCTCCAACTGGTGGTCAACCACATTTGGAAGGATCCTCCCTCCCTTGTGATTGGTCCTAACCCCCCTTTCCCTTCCAACCTTCCCTTCCTAGCTCATCCCTCTCTTCCTATGTAATGCCTTTGCTTCATCAATAAACTGAACCTTTCTGTTTCTAACATGGTATAGAGCAGTAATGGCTGACGCCAACTGTTAAATCCCGATCTTTTCCCATGCTTCCGCCCCGTCCCCTTCCGACGTGCACCTCATTGCCGTCCCCTCCATCGCCGCTGCTAGACTCCTAGCTGCCGCCTCTCAACTAGTTTTCTGTTGGGTGGATTTTCAACAACCCCCAATGCGCCAAACGCCATAGCTCGCTTGATAGTTGACAGAATTGAGTGATTCGACTTGCAAAAGAACGCTCTTGGTGTCAGCTACAATATCGCAAAATTTCGGACTGTTTCATCGCTTGGATTGTCAGATATCGCTTTCCGAAGCTTGCACACTTTCCTGGATGTGATCACGAAGTGCTACTGAAATTTCTACCAAGTCCTATTTTCATCAGCTAACTGCCATCTTTCCCCATCTTTTGCCTCCTCACCTGCACCTGCTCATCGCCGCCTTACCACTGCTGCAGCCGTAGCAGCAGCAGCAGAAGCAGCAGCAGCACCAGAAGGAGCAGCAGACTCAGCAGCAGCAGCAGCAGCAGTAGCAGCAGCAACAGCGGCAGCAGCAGCAGTGGCAGCAGCAGCAGCGGCAGCAGCAGCAACAGCAAGCAGCAGCAGCAGCAGCAGCAGCAGAAGGAGCAGCAGCAGCAGCAGCAGCAGCAGCAGCAGCAGCAGCAGCAGCAGCAGCAGCAGCAGCAGTATCTACAGCCATCCCCATCCTCCCCTCCTCTTTGAGCCGCCGCGGGTCCACCCGCCGCCGCTCCCTCCCGGCCACCGCGGGTCCACCCGCCGTCGCCTTCCTCCCATTCCGTGTCACCAATGGCATCCTTTCCCCCTTCCATCGACGTCTCGACCCTCGATCATCTCGTGCGCGCTGCCGACAACTCAGCAACCAACTGGTATTCCTTCGTCGGCAGCCTCCACCGCGTCCTCGACAGTGCTTATGTCCTGCCGTTCCGCCTCCTGGACATCATGCTTGGTCTCCCAGAGGGTGACCTTGGGGACCCGCCGCCTCACCCTGGCGATCCCCCCCTCTCATTCCCCATCCCGGCGAGGAACCTCTGCCCCCCATGGTACCCGTTGGCACCAGCACTCGCGCTGCCACCGCTGAAGTTGAGCAGCTCTTCCTTACTCAGCGTCGTGAGTTCCTCGTGCTCCATATTGATTACCTGATCGCGTTGGAGGAACACGAGCGGTCGGCAACCCTCCGCACCCGGCATGCCGCTACCGCCGCCGCTTATGCCGCTGACTCTGCGCGATTTGCTGAGCGTCGTCGCACCTGGCTCGAGGCGCACAGCCGTGCTACTGGTGCCCTTCTCCTTGCCATCCCGTCCGCGCTCATGCGCAATTTCCAGGCACGTCGCATCGGCTCCCGCCAGATCTGCCTCGAGCTTGAGGCAATGTTCGAACGCACCGACTTCGATGCTGTCGGACCGCTCTTCAAGGAATACTTTGTTAGAAACAGAAAGGTTCAGTTTATTGATGAAGCAAAGGCATTACATAGGAAGAGAGGATGAGCTAGGAAGGGAAGGTTGGAAGGGAAAGGGGGGTTAGGACCAATCACAAGGGAGGGAGGATCCTTCCAAATGTGGTTGACCACCAGTTGGAGGTGGTCCAAGTGTGGTGTACCACCAGTGGTTTAGCCAACCCACTTGTGGTGCCCCCACAATTGTGGTCCTTGTGTTTGGGGGCTCCAACCACAATTGGGTTGGATTGACACCCCAACACAGGTGTACACCCAACTAGGGATGTAAACACAATATACACAACTAGCATAGCATGGTATATTCTAACACAACCCCATAGCATGCAAAGCTAGTGTATATGTAGGGTACAACCCCAGAATCAGGAAGGGGGGCGGGGCCCAAGGCCGAGAAGGCGGAGGAGGGCAGAGTGCGCGGTCTTCGGGAGGGCCTTGGTGAAGATGTCGGCCAAGTTGGCCTCTGCAGCGATCTTGCGGACCACCAAGTGACCTTGCTGGACCAACTCTCGAACGAAGAAGTAGCGGAGTTCAATGTGCTTGGAGCGGCCATGGAAGACAGGGTCCTTTGTGAGATGGATGGTGCTGGCGTTGTCGCACCAGAGGGTGGGACAGCGCTGAGGAGCACCGATCTCAGCAAGGAGGAAGGTGAGCCAGCGAGCCTCCTGAGCGGCCATGGTGCAAGCATAGAGCTCAGCCTCGCAGGATGAGAGGGCGATGGAGGAGGAGCGAGTGGAGCGCCAGCTGATGAGGCCGCTGCCAAGGGTGAAGCCGTAGCCTTGAGAGGAACGGCGATCCGGCTGGGAGTCAGCCCAGGAGGAGTCACTGAAGCCAGAGAGGAGGGGAGGAGAAGAGCCTCCGAGGGTGAGGACATAGTCCTTGGTACCACGGAGGTAGCGGAGGACCCGCTTCGCTGCAGCCCAGTGCTCATCAGTGTGGCGACCGGTACCGACGAATCGAGCAAGAACACTGATGGGGTAGGCAAGGTCGGGGCGGGTGCACATCATAGCGTACATCAGCGAGCCGACGAGCTCAGCGTAAGGATGGTCAGAGGAGGAGGGAGCAGGAGGAGGGGCAAGCTGGTGGTCGGTCTGCAGGGGAGTGGTAACCGGCTTGGCCTGCGCCATGTCGAACCGCTGCAAGACTTGGTCGATGTAGAAGGACTGAGAGAGGGTAATGGTGCGCGATGTGCGGTCCCGGGTGATGGTCATGCCCAGATAGTGCTTGAGCTCACCCAGGTCCTTGCACTTGAGGCGCGCATGCAGGGCGTCCTTCACTTGCTGCATGGCGGCAGCATCGTCAGCGAACAGGATCATGTCGTCGACATACACCAGGATGAAGAAGCGGGTGGGAGAGGAGCGAAGGAAAAGGCTGGCATCAGACTGAGAGGCATGGAACCCCAAGGACTGCAGAGTGGCGGCCAGCTTGTTGTGCCACTCGCGAGGAGCCTGCTTGAGGCCATAAACCGGGCGGCGCAGCTCCCAGACTGTGTTGGCAGGGAAGGCTGCATGAAAGCCTGGAGGCCGCCGCAAGAGGACCCGCTCCTGGAGCTCGCCTTGCAGGAAGGCGTTGGAGACATCCATGGAGGCAATCTCCATGCCAATGCGAACAGCATAGTCGAGGATGGCACGGAGAGTTGGGAGCTTGGCAGTGGGAGAGAATGTCTCCCAGTAGTCGATGCCATGGGTTTGGGTGAAGCCCTTGGCACAATACCGGGCCTTGTAGACCGGCTCCTCACCCGGCAGCTGCTTCACTCGGAACACCCACAGGCCTTCAACAATGACGTCGTCAGGAGAGGGGACAATGTTAACGAATGAGGCATTGCGGATGAAGGCCTCGCATTCAGCAAAGATAGCCTGGATCCACTTGGCAGCATCGGGGCAGGTGATGGCCTCAAGGAAGTTGGACGGAGTGAATCTGGTGGGAGCGGTAGCGATGCCAAGGATGAGGAGGCCAAGGAAGCCCGGGTAGAGAGGCGTGAGGGAAGGTGTTTGTTGCTGAACGCCAATGAGCTCCTCATGGGAGTCCTCAATGAAGGGAAGGGAGGGTGGGGGTGGTGTTGGCCAACCCCATGGATGGCCTATGAGTGGGCCGTGAGAGCGAGTGTGGATGCGTGGGAGGATGAACGGAGAGGTGGTGCGGCGATGCCGATGAGGTTGCTGCAGTGGCTGCTGCTGCTGCTGCTGCTGCTGCTGTGGCTGCTGCTGCTGCTGCTGCTGCTGCTGTGGCTGCTGCTTGGTGCTGCTGCACTGCCTGCTGCTGCTCCTCTGCTCGCTCGCTGCTGCTGCTGCTGCGCTGCTGCTGCTGCTGCTCCATCCGCTGCTGCCCTCTGCTGCTGTTGCTGCTGCTGCTGCTGCTGCTGCTGCTGCTGCTGCTGCTGCTGCTGGTGCTGGTGCGATGAGGCAGAGTGAGCAGGGGAGTCAGGGACAGCTGGGTCGTAAATGTCACCTGAGGAAGGAGGAGGGGGAGGAGCAGGATTTGGAGGAAGGAGGGGAGCCTGGGGAAGGAGTGGGGGAATGACAGCATCAGCCCAGGTGAGGGGGCGGGAGAGAGGAGGAAGGGGGTCGGAAGGCGGAACAGAATGATAGAACGGGATGCTCTCATCGAACACCACGTCACGGCTCTGTAGGAGGCGGCCTGAGGACGGGTGAAGGAAGAGGTAACCAGGGGCAGAGCGAGCGTGGCCAAGGTAGACACACTCAATGGCCTTGGAGGCGAGCTTTCCTGCCTGCCGAGAGCGGTCAGGTGGGGGGATGAGGACATATGCCTTGCAACCCCAGATACGGAGAATGGCAGCATCTGGCTTGGTGCTAGCCCAGAGCTCAGTGGGAGTGACAGACTGGCGTTGAGGATGTGGGTAAAGATTAGTAAGGAGAGCAGCATGGACAAGGGCATAGCCCCAAAGAGAAGGGGGCGTGGAGGCATGAGTGAGGAGGCAGCGGGCCGTCTTGGTGATCTCACGAATGCGACTCTCAGCAACACCGTTCTGCTGAGGGGAGTGGGGAAGGGTATGAGTCTGCTGGATGCCATGGGTTGAGCAGTAGGAGGAGAGGGTGCGGTTGAGAAACTCACCACCGCCGTCGGAATGGAGGCGGCGGATGGGGCGACCAAAGTGGACTCGGCACTGCTCGGCCCAGGTAACGATGACAGCAGGGGCCTCGGCCTTCGTGTGGAGGAGGAACACCGAGGAGTACCTGCTGTGGTCGTCGACTAGGACAAGCATGTACCGGTGCCCTTGGCGGGAAGGGGAAGGGTTAGGGCCCCAGAGGTCCATGTGGACGAGGTCAAGGGGGGCAGCAGCAAAGGAAGGATGACTGAGGTGAGGCTGTTGTTTGAGCTTTCCATGAATGCATGTGGCGCATGGGGGAGCGGAAGAGGACGGGAGGGGAGGAAGAGTGGGGGGAAGACCGTCAAGCAAGCGGGAGGAGACGGCTTTACGAAGTGTGGGAAAGTTCATATGACCAAGGCGGTGGTGGATGAGAACAGCGGGGTGGGACAGTGCGCGACAAGAGCATGGGGAGGAGGTGGAGTTGGAGGAAGGTGGCTCTAGAGGGAGGGGAGGGGGAGAGTGGAGGTGCCTGCACGAGTGGTCACGTGGCATGAGGAGGGGCGGGGTGTGCGGAGGATGTACTGACGAGAGCGAGGGCAAAGTGGGAGGCGATGAAGGAGGCGGCGAGTGGGGCCGTGGAGGAGGTCACAGTAGGTGGCAGAGGCGGGGAAGAGGGTAGTGATGCCAGCCTGTTGGAGTTCACGAATGGAGAGCAGGTTATGACGAAGGGAGGGAATGTGGAGACCAGTGACCACTCCAGAGGGGAAGGGGGGGCAGGGGAGGGTGGAGAGATGAGTGCAAGGGATGGAGAAGCTGGAATCAGCACCATGAACGTTGGTGGGGAAAGGGAGGGAGGTGAGGGTGCCGGCGTCTTTGAGGGCAGTTTCAGTGGCACCACTATCGAGAACAAAGTCAATCGTGAGCGAGGAGGGAGCTGAAGACACGGGGTACTGGAAATCACTGGCATTAAAAACAGAGGGATACATGGAAGTGGAAGCAGGGGAAGAACGCATGAGCTCGCCTAGAAAGCTGGAGTGGGAGGCGGGAGCACTAGGGGAAGGAGAGCCCCAGAGGGGAAAGCCAGGAGGACCTGGTGTGGCTGTGGCAGCCATGGCGGCGGTGCCAAAGCCAAGCTGCTGCTGCTGCCATGCAGATGCTGCGGCTGCGGCTCCTGCAGCTGCGGCTGCAGCCTGACCACCAGAGCCCCACTGCTGCT